TTCAGAATGTGATAATATTATGTATATCAATATTACAGATTCTTATGTCATTAATCATTATGAATGCGCTATTAATAGTATACGAGTTAAAGAAATATTTGTAAAATACGGATTTAAAATTTTAAATGAATATAATGTTGATCTTTTTCCGTTCCTTGATAAGTCACAAATTTCATATACATCAAATATCAAAGTTATTGAATTTTCAAATAATAACGAATTTTAAATATTTATTTTTATTTAATTTTATGGAATTTTTTATTTTATTTTTAAAAGTATAATTCTAATATATATATTTATAAAATATTTCTTTTAATTTAACCTGTTTCATTTAGAACTAAAAAATTTTAAAAAATTATTAAAAATAAAAAAAAAAAAAAAAATATGATAAATTTAAAAATTTAATAATATATTATAATTTATATAATTATTACCTTAATAATTATTATTTTTTAAAAAGAAGAAAAAAATTATTTTTAAATTTATTAAATTTTATATATATAACTATATATTTTATAATATAAATATAAATAAATAGTAAAATAATAATTAATCATATTTAAAAAATAATTAATAAAAATATATTAGATTGAATTTAATAGTTTAATATTTAAAAATTTTAAATAGAAAAGTGTATTATTTTATATTTATTTTTTTTCAATAGAGCGGTCAAGCGGAAACAATATCCGCCTATGAGAAAGCATACCGAGGTATTATGGCTACCTTAATATTCCTATACTTTGAGAAGACTAAAGAGCGGTACATACGAGAATTAAAAATAAATAATATATATATATATTAATCGTTAATCAATTTATTTTCTATAAGCAATCAAGGGACAAAGTTGAACAAAACAAAATAGAATAAAAAATAAAATAATGAAAATACTTGATTTGATATAACAATTTTTTTTTTCAAATAGTTATTATGTATTATTTTTATTAAATATTAAATAATAATGATATTAAACTTTTAAAAAATGTATTTTTTATTTATTATGTTTATTATAATATTTATCTATAATTATATATTAATTTTTAAAAATCAAGTTTATGAGCAAGTTAATAGATAAATTTAATTACTTAAAGATATTAATTTATTATAAATTTAATAATAATTTTTAACTAATAATTACCAACATTTACCGTATCTTGATTGGCATCCAGAATCACAGTAGGCACTGGATTTACCACAATATCCATATTTACTACAACAATAATTACGTTTACACATGTATATTCCATCCTTCTTAGAGCCACACTTATCACTAGATAGTATAGTTGGAATAGCTTGCTTTTTTGCAGTAGTTTTAGTTTTCTTCTGTTTTTCTTCCAATTCCCTTCTCATGTCGTCATAGATAGGATTAGTTTCCATATCCTTTCTCATGTCATCATAGATTGGATTAGTTTCCATATCCTTTCTCATGTCATCATAGATTGGATTAGTTTCCATTTCTTTTCTCATTTCATCGTAGATAGGATTATTTTCCATTTCTTTTCTCATTTCATCGTAGATAGGGTTATTTTCCATTTCCTTCCTCATGTCATCAAAAATTTTTGAATTAAAGTCATTGTCCCAATGTGATCTTTTAGTTAATTTAGTTTCGTATTCTTCATTAAGATTACCATCAACAATAGATGATAATGGAGAAGAAAATATTGTATTGGCTGATAATGTTAAAATTAATAAAATTTTAATTAGATACATTTTTATAATTAATTTTTTTATTTTTATTTTATTTTTAAATATTCAATATATTTTCATTTTACATTTTATTTTAATAGTTTATTATAAATTGGTAATATAAGTAGCTAAATAAATATTTAAGGTATTTAAACTGATTTATTTTAAAGTGCCAATTTTTAAAATAGTTTTCACTATAATGATACTTATAAAATTTTTAATTTTAATATTATTAGCGATAATTGCTAAATCAGAAAAAAAGTCTATTAATAATCCAGAATTACCCTTATCTTTATTAGCATTAACAAATAAAAACACAGCTTATAGTGAGCAATATAATAATAATATACAAGAGTATTATAATTACTATTATAAAAATCTGTTTGAAAAAGAGAACGGTTGCGTTGCTTTAACAAGTGATAATCCGGCGTACAACCCATATCACACATCACTTATTGTTAACAGTAAAGAAGGTAATACTATTACTGTTCTAGGAAATCCTATTGAAATCAACAAAAAGAATATAAATTCCGAAAATGAGTGTGGAACCATACAAAATATGAACAAACAATCTATCTCATGTCATATTACTCTTCCCAATAATACAACACAAATAGTAGAATTTATAGTACCAGATAATCAATGCTATAATATTAGAGCACTTCCTATATATACTGCAAAAGTCAATCTTTGGTCATGCAATTACAATAACAATATAGAAATTTCCAAAAATGTAACTACGATCAAAATCAACAATTACATCACCTATTTGAATCGCTGTGACAGTAAAACAAATAACACCAAACAAATAACTTTAAATAACACTTTTAATGAAAGAACCAAAGGATATACATTAAATTATAGTGAAGCTTTAAAGAAAGGCGAATACATTTCATCTCCTGGAGGTAGATGGCATTTTGGATTACTTCCTAATGGCGAATTAGCATTATGTGAAAATGAATTTAAAGAAAGTCACATCAAATGGTCCAATAGAATAAACTACTTGAGTAAATATGACCTCAAATTCTTTATTGATATTAGCGGTCATTTAGTAGTTACTGCTAAAAATATCGTTAAATCATTGGATAAGAACGACCATTACGACGAGAAAACAAATAGTATAACCAAAGAAAATAAATTAAACAAAAGGATTGAAGAAAAGAATAAGGATAAAGTATCTGCTAATTCAGTTGAAGATAACGATTCATTGAACAAAAGTTATCTATTAGAAAATGTCGCAAAGTTCAAAGAATGGCTAAAAAATTATAAATTACCTGAGAACAAAAGCAAAATATACGAAATTAGCAATGTTATCCAAAACGTAAATTATAAATCAGATAAAGAAATAATCGTTTGGGATTCTCTACCACGGAACTTAACTTATAATGTTGGTTACTTTGGAGATTCAGGGTATTTTTTAGTATTATCGGATGATGGATCCAAATCTAAAAATTCACCAGTTATGTTGTATGATGGAGCGGGTGTAAAAATTTGGCAAATTTTACCTGGCGACGAATATAAAGGCTATCCATTTCCGAGAGAATATGACATGCCGTTGGATTTTGAAACGACTACTTCAAGTAATACTCTCACTTCCACTCCAGTTGTTGGTGATATTCCAATCTATACTAATTTAACTAGTACTACAATAATCTCAATTAATGATAATATTACTACCAAAATCGATAAAATAACCATTAAATCACACAAGGATATTTATTTGCCGAGCCAAACACAATCTTCATCCTCAATAAGTGGAATTTCGATACCAACTATTATGTCCAGTAACAAATGCGGCACATATGATGATGGGATCTATGTCTGTAAAAACAACAAATGTTGCAGCAAATATGGACATTGCGGAGATACTGAGAAATATTGTGGAAAAGGTTGTCAAAATAATTATGGTTTATGTTATTCAAAGTCAAGTCGTTGTGGTATAGAATATGGAATATGCAATAATAATAAGTGCTGTAGTAAGTATGGCTACTGTGGCAATGGTAAAAGATATTGCTATAATGGATGTCAATCTGAATTCGGAATGTGTATGTGATTGATAGTGATTAATTAACAGAAATTTAAATAAAAAAAAATAAAAAATAGAGCAATACACAAATTATGAATATTTGAAACTTTTAAATATTACATATTTAGAGTTAGTTACTATCTAATAAACTTTAAATAATGACATAAATAAAATGTTATGAAATATACAGAATGTAACCAAATTTTATATCTTAAAGATATGTTTTTAAAAGTTAAAATTTATTGCTTTATTCTACTTAGCAAAAAATTCATATGAACAAGATTATTATAATATAATTTCAAATTTAAATACTACAATTCCTGAAATTTTTAATAATATTATATTTAAAAAAGAAATAATAACTGATTCAGAATAAAATATAATAAGATATTATTATATAAAAAATGTATTTATAATTAAAAATAGTTATATATATATATAAAAAAAAGATTATTAATAATGCCAGTCCCAATTAATTACAACTTTAACCAAAATATACTTTTAATGTATTATAAACTTTTAAATTTTAATTTTTTAAAACTATATAATTTATTATATTATTATATTGAAACAATATTATATATAAAAATAATAAATATATATAATATATTTTTTTAATTAAATATTAAATAATTTATATATTTTTCTTTATATAATAAATCCTGAAAGTTATGATTAAAATTAAAAAGAAATTAATCAAGTTTTATTAACTTTTTAAAGTGTCCATTTAAAAAAAAAAAATAATAATAATAATAATAATAATAATAATAATAATAATAATATGAATTACATCTTTTATAATATAATAATATTACATTAAATTTCATATGTATTACAATAAATATTTAAATGTATAATAGTATATTTTGGCATATATAATTTTATAATAAAATAATTAATACAAAATAATATAAACCTGTAAAAAAAAAAAAACATAGACTTGCACATAATAGGTACCCATCATACGGTTATTAATTAACTTTAAGGTGATAAGTTATTGGAATACTGTAACAGCCTCGCCGCTCTCAATCGTCGTTACACACTGCCTGGAGATGCATTCTTAACCCTAACCCTATATCTCCATTAACCACGAACACCAGAACGGAATCATTAACTCCTCCCTAGTGTGTGTAATCATTGGCGATTGGAAATTTTACAATCATCAAGGTCTATGCTTCAATTCAAAGCGTAGTATCAGAGTTGGGTGAAATAACCATTTGAGGTAAAGCCTTATGAATATCACGCGTGGTCTCATGATATCCCAGGATAGAAACCTCATCCGATTATTTGGTGCCATGCCAAGGATTCAAACGCGAACCCCGCCCTCTACAGTAACCTGTATCGTCCTAACCGACTGGACCAACATGGCTATAAATCTGTAAAATTATATAATTAATAATATAGTAAGAAAATATTAAACTTTATTTTTCAACAAATAATTAATAAAAAATATAGTTTTAAAAAATATAAATATTTTTACATAATTAATAAAAAATATGAATGTGGTGCATTTCGACATAATTTATGTATAATCAGCATAAATATTTGTACAATGCGTACAAATTATGTAATACACCACATCATTCAACGTATACTTTTATTTATTGTATTTTAGCATTAAAAAAATAAAATAAAAAACTAAAAAAATAATAAATAAAAGAATAAATAAGTTTTCTGTTAAGAATTTTATTTTATTTTTATTTATTTTCAATTATTTAATTAATTTTCAAATATTTTAAATTAAAAGTTTTATTTTTTAATTTTTTTGTTTTAATCTATTTTTTTTATCTTATATTTTTATTCTTTTTTTTTTTTTATTTTTTATTTTACTTTATTATTTATTTTTTTTATTTTTATTTTTCTTTATTATTTATTTTTTTTTACTACAAATGTTAATAAAATTAAATTATTAACCCTATCCTATTCTTTATTCTTATAAGCCACATTGTAATACATGAATAAATGATTATACATAAATTATGTCGAAATGCAATACTCCCAAAAAATATAGTTTTAAAAAATATAAATATTTTTACATAATTAATAAAAATATAGTTTTAAAAAATATAATAAATATAACTTATATTATATTATAATTTTTTTAATTTATTTGAAATTTTTTATTTAAACTTATTTTACTGTTTTTATTTTTATTTAATGTAGGGTAAGTTTTATATTATTTTTTAAATATTATAATATTTTTATATATTATTATTTTAAAAATTTATATAAATACTAATAAAATATTTAATTTATTTCAAAATAAATATTAATTATTAATAATAGTAATAATATATAACTTTTTATATTTATATTTTATTTTTGTTTTAATTATTATTTTGTATTATTTTAAAAATTTATATAAATACTAATAAAATATTTAATTTATTTCAAAATAAATATTAATTATTAATAATAGTAATAATATATAACTTTTTATATTTATATTTTATTTTTGTTTTAATTATTATTTTGTTCATTATTTTTAATTTAAATGTTATATATGTTACTTTAGAAAATATTTTCATCAAGATTGCTTATTGATATTTTTTTTAAGAGCATAAGGATTGCTTATTGATATTTATTTTTTTTAAGAGCATCAGGATTGCCTATTGATATTTTTTTTAAGAGCGATAGTATATTTTGTTTTATTTATATATATCTATTTTTTTTTTTTTTAAAATTACATATTTTATTTAATAATATAATAGATTTTATCTAATATAAAAATAATAGTAATAAAAAAACGAATGAAATTAAAGAAATATTATTATTTGTTATAGTAACAGTACCACTGGTAACATGTTTAGATTTACATTCTTCAGATTCTAATTCAGAAACAAGCCTTTTAGCAACAGATAATTCTTCATAGGAAAGACTTCCATTTGTATATGATAAATTTTCATAAGCAGCAAGTTGATCCATACTAACATTCTTATATATATTAAGTAATTCTTCAGTACATTTTTTAGATTTACATGTATCATCTAAAGCTTTGTCACCACCAGTTTGTGTAATACCATATATAGAAAATGGACATAATTCATTATTTTCATCGGTTTGACAATTTAATTCTAATTTCTGTACAATATTTTTAAATACAAGTGGTTTAAACAATTCATTAAATTGAGGGATTTTACTACATATTGGATAATATTTTGTTTTATCTTCATCAATATAAAACTTTTGACACTTTTCAGAATAAATATTTGAACAAGTTTGTTTCCAATTATTTATTGTAACTGGAGACATACATTCGATACTATATTCCGAATTTTTATCCTCTTCAGCACATTCTTCACTAAAATTACTTAAGAGAGTCTCTTGATTAACTGAAACATCTCTTCTTAAAATTGTTGGAAAAACAATAGAACTAGCATAAGATGAAGTTATAACTATTAAATTTAATAATAAAATAAAATATTTCATTTTCCTATTATTTATTTTTTTATCAATATAATAAAATTTTATATTATTTTTTTAATAAAAGTAAAAATAAAATCATTTTTAAAAAAAAAAAAAAAATTCTTTAATTAATAAAATATATATTAATATTTTTATTTAAATAAATAAATATTTTTAAATTAAATAAATAAAATAAATTTAAAATTTATTCATTTTGATAATTAATTTAAACTATTTTTATTATAATTAGTATTTTTTTATTTTATTATTATACAATTATTTAATAATATTTTTGATTTTTTCATTTGTAATACTTTTAAATAATAATAAAAAAGGTTAATGCTACTATAACAATCATCATAAGTATCTAAAGACATTTTAATAAAATTTGTATAAAATTAAATACTCTTCATAATCATAAAATTCTATTTCAAAATCATTAGAACCATTAGAATTATTTTTAGAATTATATAAATCTTCATTGTTATTTTTTTTATTTAATTTAAATATATAATAATAGATGAACATTTATTAAAAATATTATTATATTTAAATATATCAAGATTATTAAAATAAATATAACTTAATTTACAAATTGGATGAAGGACTAATTTTATTGTTAGTATATAGTTTAATGTATTTTCTTTTATATATATATATAATATATTGATTTTATATTTATCAAAATAATTAAAATTATTTTTTGTATTATATATAGGTAAAAGGAATTGTATATAATCTATGATTACTAAATACTATATTTTTGCATTTTCAATTTATTTTGTCACTAGTAAAAAAATAATGAATTAGGTTTTATATTTTATTTTTGAATATTCTTTTTGTAAATTAAAAAGTAAATTTAAAGGTATTCTAAGAAAATTTTTATAAACAATATTTTTAATTTATTTATGCATATTTAAAATAAATTTTATTACATTAATATCTCTTCTATATAATTCAAAAAATAAAATCAATAAAATATTTTTATTTATATAATTTAATACTTTGCTAATGAAAATTTTTATTTAAATGAACATTTTTCTCTAAATAATACATATATTGTATCTTTATAATAAAAAATAATATAAAATATAAATAATTATATATATATAAAATGATTTATGTATACAAAAATATAAAGTAAAAAAATAGCAATAAATTTTTTTTTATTAATTTTAAGAAAATTTAATATTAAAATGGAAAAAGTTGAACAAAATACGGAAAAATTTTATAAAGAGTTAAATGGTGATTGTAATATTGAAAAATTAAAAAATATTGCTAATGATAAAATATTTTTATACGAACCTTTATTTAAGTATGATAAGATAAAGTACGATACATTTGTTATTAAAACAAGTTTTGAATCATACCAAAATTTTATGATTTATACTCTTGAACAATATAATGAATTTATTAGTTTAATAAAAAATTGGGATGAAAATCCTTCCAAATTAAATAAAATATATCCATATATAGAAAGTGATAAGAATACATTATTTATTTTGAATAATAATTTAATCAATTTTTTAGTCAATGATAAAAATAATGAAAATATACTAAAAATATTACTTAAATTTCATGGAAGTGGAATGAGTATATTTTTATATTATTTATATAAATATGATATTATATCTTTAAATATATTTAATATTTATAAACTTTGGGTACTATCTGATGAAGCAATTATAATAATATATGTTACTAATTTTTTTTATTTAAATGATAAGTTTTATGAAATAACTAAATTATTGAAATACATGGAAAGAGAATATCTAATTTCCACAATTATTAATGTATTTGGAAGAGATATTAAAATATTAAATTATGTTATTAAAAATTTAGTAAAAGGTTCCTTAATAGATACAAAAGATAATTTATATAGAATTCCTGCAACATTTCCAATAGATACTTTAAAAGAATATACTTCAAAAATATATAAACCAAATGAAAAATATTTAATTTGTTCTAAAGATAAAAATTCAGAGTTATTTTTTAATACAATACTCACTGATTTAGGCATAGAAGAAATATGTGAATATTATAATAGTTATATATTACCACATTATTTTTATCGGTATAATGTTAAATTCAATATTCCTAAAAGAATTAAAACATTAGAATGCACGAATTTTTATAATAATTCCTCTAATAATAAAGGTTTTAACAATCATTATTCATTAAATTTTGAAACTAAAGAGTTGTTTGATATACCATTTTCAAATTCCAACAATAATACAAATTCTGAAAAAGTGAGATATATAAGTGATAAGGTCTTTAAATTTGTTGAAAAATATTATACGGAAGAATGTGATTGGAAAGATTATTATAAATTAAGAGAAGTTGATATCGATGAATATGATTTGGAGTATAACGAAATTTTAAATTTCTTTGATATTAATTATACTATATTTCCATTTGATTTTTATATTGTTGGATATGAGGATTTAGAAATTTTGATTCAAAATCAATTGGATAGTTTTAAGAAAAGAATATTTAATAACGACGATAGCATGCAAGAAATTTTGAATAATATAGAAAATCCATTAATTTATAATTATATTAATGAATATAAAAATAATAAAATATTCGTTTCATTATTAAAAATATTATATATTATATCATTAATTCATAATAATTATTCTACATTTATTATATTATTATTATTACGTCATTTAGAATATAAATTAGAGTATAAAAATAATCGTTTATATTTTATTAAAAATAAATTTCAATATATGAGTTTGGAATATGAATTCTATGATTTATTTAATTCTAATAGCATTATTAAAAAATATATTGAGTTAAAATACTAAAACGGTATTCATATATCATTAAATATGTAATTGCTATTATTTTTTTTTATATTAACTATTTAAAATAAATTTAAATAATTTTTAATAAATTTATTATAAATTAATAATATTATAAAATGATTTTTAAAATTTTATTTTAAATTTAAAATAA